TATAAACCAATTATTAAATGTCTTATATGACGTTCGAAATAAGGCTTTGATCTATTTATTATTACACAGGACATACTGATCTGATGTACTAACCGTGAGGAAACTCAAATAATAGATGAAAATACCATATGCTAATTTCTAACCAATCATAGATATATCGTAAAGTGTGGGTGTGAGTGTAAGTCTTTCTCTTGTCCACATACCGACACCCTCTTTCAAATGTTTGTAAAAACGAAAAAAATTTTTTTTTCTGGTACAATAATTAGATCAAAAACTGAAGCAATAAAGATATACGATCGACACTATAGATCTCATATATTTGTATAACGTTAGCATAAATTAAAAAAATGATATGCTCATTTACCAAATGTTTCACTGAAATCTGAAGACCTTGATGAGTTTTTATATTTTAAAGAAATGATTTTCTAAGGTAACTAAAAACTGTTTCAACACTAATTAGTAATATTCATGGAGTGTTGAAAAATGAATATAATCTTTTGCCTTTCATTTCTTTACTTATATTATCCATTGATGTTCAACAATGATGGAATCTGAAATAAATAAAACGTATAATATCTTTTTTTAGATAAAATAATAAATAGAATGGAAACACTATCAAATGAAAATCTTCTTCATAGTTTTTCTTCTCTCACATGGTTCGATATATTAACGTCTTTTTGGTCATTAAATATTTGGTTCAATTCTCTTGTGTGTTCAGCTCTTTCAATAAGTGACAATTTATTAAATACTGATCTTCTAATTAAACAAAGTTTATCTTATAATAGATTTTCTTCAATATTATTATATCCATTGATTTTAAATTCATCATCTCTTTCTTCTTCTATTCAATGTATTCATTTTGATGGAACAAATTCAATTACTTGTGATCTTAGTGATGAATTATTGTTTAATGATAAAAAAAATCTTCGTTTTCCTAATCTTAAATCAGTTATTCTTCCTCAATGTATATCAATTGAATCGGTAGTTCTAAGTTTATCTTATCTTATTCAACATCAATTCGATGAACTTACATTAACATTTGATCAGCAGGTGTTCAAACGAGTTTTTTTAATGAAAACAGACATTCGTCAATAGCTTTTGATATAGGTAATCAATCG